TACGTAAGACCCTCTGCAGCTCTAGCAGCATTTTAATAATGCAAAACGGTGCAGACAAAGAACGACTCTGCATTAATATTGCGGGTCTGTGCAAAACGAATTTACGCTTCTGAGAAATTCATTTCGTCAAGAGTCATGAGTCATGATTAAGAGCAAAAATCATATGTCTAAAAAAAAATAACTTGAAAGTGTGATAAAAATTTAAAGTTAAATATTCTGTAGAATTTTCTAAAACTACTTCCATATTTTATTCAAAATTGATTCACATTTGAGTTAGAAAGGTTTAGATATGCTTTCATTTTAGAGAACGCAGAAGTTCGCAAATTCTTCATCAAATATTACATTTTATTTATTCAGTCCAAAATTTACTCTGAGAGTTATTCTTATTAAAAAAATAAGAGACCAAGTGATTTCATGCGAATTTAGCTGACTATTATTTTATGGTTTATTAAAAAAGAAATGCACATTTAATTGACTTTTTCTTTGTCAATTAGTTATCTCAAAAATAAAATGAAATAAATATTATTTAAATTTCAATAGAATGTTCAGTTCTTTTCTTAAGATTTCTTGATGAGTCTATTTGATTCGGAAAATATTACAAATTTTATCAAATTTCCTTATCACCAGAACTTCTTTTCATTTCAATCCAAACTCTACAAGCAGACAGCTGGCTGCCCTGGTATTTGTACTCTCAGTTAATCCTCTGAACTCTCATTCCCCAACTTTTGTTGAAATCCTGCAGACAGTGAATAATTAATTTGATTAACTGGCAGCGCACTAGAGGGACTGCAGCAGTAGGTACGGCTGCTAAGTAAATGCGCGCGGCTCTCTCGCGACAGCGCATAGAAGTAATTATTCACGTTTCATCTCGGTGGCATTCCCAGTGCTCTTCGCCAAGTCGTGTTACGCCCGCCGAAATTAAAGCAGCTCGGTCTGTTTGTACATTTGTATGATAATTGCGAGTGCAACTGCTTATTTATTCAAGCTGTCGGCAAGATGCAGCGCAGCCTTGGGAGTCGCTGCTGAGCAAACAGCAGATAGGCAATGTACATTTACCACCGCGTGCACTTGCATATTGTACACATCGTGCACTAAACTCAAATGGGAGTAAACGCGTCAGGGAATTTGTGAACTTGTGTGCTCTCTGGGTTCAATTCAGCCGAGTTAGCGAGCAAGACTCTTAAGCTCATTAAAGTGGATGTTAGGATATTGTTCCACAAGGCAAACAGTTGGCTAACCTGAAAGCTTTGAATAATATGCCAGCCCTCGAGAGGATAAATTTTTAAATGAACTTTTACCGATTTATATATATTATCTCATAAAATAAATTAAGTTAAAAATATCAATATCACTAATAAATCTAATAATTAAGCCATAAATTTGAAAAATTCTTTCCAATAGGTTGATCGATCAAAGTGTTTGGAGAAAAAGAAATCATATTGAGTTAAAAACAATTTGTTGGAATTAATTATAAATTTTTACGTCACTTTTTAAGTATTTTTGTTGAAAAAAATCCTGATGAATTTTCCGGATTTTCAATAAGGAAAGGGTCATAATTCATCAAATTTCATTTCTGATATCAAAATACCCAGAATAAAGTATTTCTTTCATTAAGAATGTTCATCACAGATTGAAGATTCACTTTTTCCCTCTTCCCGCCATGAGAAAAGATGAGCCTTTGAGGAACCCTGCTGTTTTCCGCCTTACAATTAATAGGAGGGAAAGTTTTTTGATCATGATTTTGAAGTCAGTCATGATACTTGTTTTTCCAATTCAAGTTTATGTATCATTTTACTAAACAACTTAAGATTTTTTTTTTTCAATTTCAGACATAAAACTTTTTAAATGTTTTTATTATTTGACCTGTTGTGAGAGAATAAACGATTTGAATTTAATTTTTAAGATCTGTAATTTCAAAAAAGCAATGGTGCGATAATAAAACTTAATAAAATAAAAAGATCAAAGCAATTTCAACATTTTCATTAATTTCGAAGGTGATTGAGTTTTAAAAATATTGATTGAGGATAAAACGGCTTCCTAAATTAATTGCATTCCTGGCGGTCTTTGAACTCTGATACTCGAGGGCTTTCAAAACGGACACGCACATCTAGCCCGTACAGTTCAAACGCATTCCAGGTGGGTTTGCTTGCAAAGCGTTTTCCACAAAAGAACTGCGGCTTTGTTTCCGGGGCCGAGGAGCAACAAGAGCGGCAGAGTGGCGACGAGATGGTGTTTCATGATAGAGTGTGTGTGTGTTCATGTTTGCTCGGGATTATATTCATATCAACAAAATGTCGTCTTATGCGAGATGATAATAATGCACACGCGTGCCAAGGTATGTGAGCGCGGTTTTAATTAATTCCCGTGCTCTTGCGAATGCGACGAGGAGACACACTGCTTACAAATGTCTACATCTCGCACGCCAGACGTACTACAAAATATGCTGCCTCGTCGCGTTATGTTTGCCGAGAGAGAAATAAACACACGAAATGCACTCTCACCGCACCTTCACCGCTAGACAACACGGCAGCGCCTTTTGGAACTGGGAGAAAAGTTTGTTACGAGCAGAGAAGTTCTGTTTTCTACCAGGATTTTCATTTATGTACAATCATTTTACTAAAATGGAAATAAATTCACTAAAAACGAATTATCAATGGCTAAAAATTATGATTCAAATTTTTCCCGAAAGTATTGGGCTATGATAGCAATTTTAGCTTATTATTTTTAATATTTTCTTGATCAGGCTGGTTGTTGCCATCGTAGGTGGTTCAAGTAAAAACTGGAACTGTTCTGAAGCCTCCAAAATTTTGTTTTTTTCAATTTAACAACAGCTTTTAGACCTTTTTGCAAGTGACGCAGTAACGCGATTCTTCCTTTTTTTAAAGTTTAATTATTCTTACTTTACGTTTTAATTATTCTTCATTATTTATTCACATATCAGTTGTTAAATTGTTTCCGTACAAGTTTGCATCCATGAATTTTATTATTTTCAAGGTTTTTTTTTTATCTCAATAATCTGTGAAACTCTCACTAATATTACTAGATTAGAAACAAGTTTTATTAACTAAATAATTATAATACTGCATTTATCGACCTATTTTAAACAACTTTTGACTTAAATCTGATTGACGATTTAATTTAAATATTTTTAATATATTTTAGTTTTAGAAATGAAATAAATTGAATTTATATTTTTTTTTCTATAATTGTTAAAAAAAATCATACTAATGAAACAATTTTCAAAGAACATAAAATACATAAATAATATTTAATAAAAAATGAATATAATTAAGCCATTATTATAAAAAATTCATAAAAAATTAAATTATTATTATTATGAACAAACTTAATTTTTTAAAATATTAATTTTAAATATTTTTATTAAAACTTTTAAATGAGTAAACGTATTAAAAAAATTTAAAATACGTTTACTCTTTTAATTTGAAAATTTGAGCAGTGAAAAATGCCATACAATAATTGGTTTGCTAATTCTCATCTGTACCACCTGACTTTAATTAATAGCATGAAGGTCCAAGAGCTTTTGCACTCGTCCGAAGAATGCCTTGTTTATGTTCGTCCACATGCATGGATTCCCAAGTGGTGCGTGTGGAGTTTTGTATTTTGTTACTGGTGCGTACACCGCGGCTCTTAAGTGCGCTCTTTTGTGTTTCAACATTTGCTTATAATTCCCCTGCATGCTGCATGACTGGCGAAACTTTTTCCAGGTATCATGCATTTCAGCTGCATAAATAAATGACCCTGGCCGTGTTCATGCGTTGAAAGGAGAGCCATTTTCAGAAATTACGTTCCCTCGTCGGTGTGAAATTTACCAAAAAAAGCAGGTAGGCTCACTTTGTTTAATTAAAAAATTTCTGTCGCGTTCCTTTGAGAGTTAATTTTTGTAACGAATTTGGGCCGGTGTGGCGCTTTATCCTCGAGAGTGATGCTTTCGCACGAAAATTCAAACATAGCGCATTAGTGCTCGTCGTGAGGTGTCGTCAAATTTTGTTAAAAGCTGCTCGGAGAGGAAAAAAATTAACGGAAAAGTGATATCACGCGTATATAACACGTCGAAGTGAGGAAAAATTCCAGCCGACGGCGCGCTCGCGACGGAATTTTGCGAATATTTATGGCCCAATTTTAATAAGTCAGGTATGCGCCGCCGGTGGGAAGCTTGACGCACCCGCTAATGCCACCGCCATAAAATACGAAACACTTCAGTTTCGCAGCTCCTCTCATCGATCTGCCTCAGGACTTTGTTCGGAGAAAGACTTCTGTTGTTCTAGTCAGCAACTTTCCACTGTCGAGGCGGCGAAACTTTGGTAATTGATTCCGCTTAAATGCCAATCAAAAACAGCACTCGGTCGCACAAAAAAAATAAAAGAAAGAAGCAGAAAACTCGCAGCTTTGTTTACCTTCGCTCGCGCGTCTAATTAAGCGATCCATAATTAACCTAACGTGGGCAGAATTGCTGATATAGCAGGCCTTGTTTCTTGCAAGAAATTGTGTTTGCTATTTTTTTTATCAATCTTTTGCTCTTCGAAGGATATTTGTTTCTTGAGAATTATTCACATTTTTTTTATTTTCATTCAACTATTTGCCCAACTCATTATCATTATCAGACCTTCAAATTATAGTTAATTTAATTTGTACTTATTTATTTTTTAATGCAATATGAATCATAAATCATCTAATCTATCCAAATCAATATGCAACAGCATAATAAGATTGATGGTTTCAAGGTAAGCTTCAAGCATTTATGCCAAATCTGTTTGTGTTTAATCAAATTATTTATTAGCGTTCAAAAAAATCGAATTTACTCAAACAGGAGAAATTATGAGATATTAAAATAATTTAATATTTAAATAATAAAAACAAATTTAAAATATTCTTTATAATAAATTTATCTATTAATCCTTAAAAATATTTTTTTGTGACTAATAAAAATGCTTTTAAAAGTAATGTGTGTTATAATTAAATACGAATTCATTTTTACTCACTTTTTCAATGATGCAAACGAGGCTGATGGTGCTGCCGATGTCCACGTGGTGCTCGCCGTTGCCCAGGATGAACGCCTCAGGTACCACAATGTGCAGATTGACAAAGTGCGACATGATTCCAGTGCCTGTTGACACCTGTAACACACACAAGTGGCAAACCTCATTAATTACTCTGGCCTAATGAACATGTCAAACGTGCAGGTCCCTGATTTATACGCGCCCTTCGACCAAATAAATGCTCCACCCTTATAGATATTTGCATTGAAAGTTTCGATTGAGCAACTTCTGGTATTACTTGATGGAATCCGAGACTACAGGTATTTGACTTTCCGAGATCGATGGTTCTTATTCGATCTTGACTTCTTTTAAGAGGTCTGCTCAACTATAGGAAACAATGGAAACTTGATGCATTGAAATAGGTCAAGATGTGCACACAGCTCTTAACTGACAATCCTCTACTTCCTCCATTCTCAAGGAGGAAAAAATTATAATTCTCCCTCGAAAGAGCTTAAAATTCTGTGCAATTCTCCAGCTCCATCTTGTGAGATGGAAATTAATGCATTTTAAGTAAAATGGACTTTTTACGCTCACAAGATGTTGAGGGTAAAAAACAAGGGCTGTCTTACTCCCGTCGCGCATTTCTCCTCGTTTGTTCTTTCATAAGAGTCGAGGCATTGCATTGTGATGAATATTAAAAAGCAGCGGCACGAAACTGTGAGCGCATTGAACATTACTTCCATTCTCAACTTACGCAGTTTGCCTCCTTAATTATACCAGCCGGTTATATTCAAGGTATTACTGGGGTACCTTTATTTATTTATTCTGAGCAAGCCTCTGGATAAAAAAAAATAACAATAATTAGGTATTGTCTTATCAATTATGACAAGGAACGCTGGAGGGAAAATTATGAAGCTTGGAATTCATTCTAAATTTTTTATTTAAGACTACGTAGGGGAAAAACATAGAATTTGGCAAGCTACGTGTTTTTGTAAATACAAAGATTAAAAATTATTAATAAGATTGAAACTTTGAAACCTTGAATATATTCCGAGCAAGCGAGCATTATCAACACAGTGTATTGTGCCACTGGCTAAATGTATGATTTTGACTTCATTTGCTTAAATGGATGGGATTATAAAAAAATGCATATATTTTTCAATAATATTAAAATTAGTGGTATTAAAATTCAACTAAAAACTGACCATAGATTAAACCCAACAATTTTATTTATTTTTGTATATTAATTTAGGAATTTACATTTTTTTTATAACAAAAGTGTGGAGAAAATAGCTAGATATAAGAAATTTTATCCAAAATTTCTCAATTGCATTTTGTTGTTTAAATTTCAAACAAATTTTTTAATAGCTTCTTAACCGAACGATATTATTTAACTTTTTTTATTTATAACCTCAAAATAATCTTCATCTGAACAACGTTTAATCAGATTTATTTGCAGCCAATACTTCCTAAAGCACAATTTATGCAAATGATTTTCCTCCTTTTAATGTAGAACAGTCATGAATCATGCATGAAGTCCTTGTAAATTGCCACATCAAAGAGAAATTCTGTGCGACAAACTCATTTCTCCGCTACTTTGTGAAACGTTCCAGCTTCGGTTCTCTTCCTTCTTTGAAAAGCTAATCTTCATGAAACACACAGATTGAGCTTTCCACTTATTATTCGCTCGCAGCCAGCAGTTTTCCAGTTTGCTCACTTACAAAGCAGTCTGCGGCTTTCAAGGCAATAAATTTGAATCAGCGGCGCTTCTCTTTGCCGGTCATAAATCAAAATCCGAGCGCGCCCAGAAAGAGAAGCGGTGACAGCGGAGCATTTTTGTGCCAAGACGTACGACCTTGCATGTGGCACCAATAAAACGAAATGAAATACGCCAACCGTGGAATTCAAATGGGCATGCACACGGCGGTATAACTTGAAAGGGTTGAAATGCATGGCAATATTTCTTATAATTTAAAAACATTCTCTGCAGTTTGTTATGTGCTGCGTAAGGCAAGATTTTCATAAGCTTGCATTTGCCAAATTAGTTTACCTACATAATTTTGATTGTTAAATTATTCTGCATGAATTTAAATGTTGTAAATATATATGATTAAATGTTCTGGTTTTAACCTAAATTTAAAAAAAAATTGAATATTAATAAAAATTTGATGTAATGCGTTTTAGATTTTATTTTAAATAATGCAGATTCTCAACATTTTTTATTAATTAGTGATAATCTAGTTTAGTGTTACCTCTTTTCATAAAAATTCCTATTAATAATTTTGTATTACAAATATTTTCTCATATTATCTATTTTATAGAGAAGTATTTTGAAAACAAACATAAAGCTCGCACCAATGTTTTTTAAATAATCATAATTTAAATAACAGTAACTTTTCAGTTCAACTTGTAAAAAAGATAAGCACTTGATTTATAACCTATTTATCAGATTCAAAAACCAAAAATTTACATGATGTTATTTTTTATTAAAAAAAATTTGAACTATTCTGCATAGGTATTTTCAATCGAAATAAATTAAATAATTAAATAATTTTTTTTTTAATAAAAATAAATTTCTCTTTATGATCATGCAAAATTTTAATGTCAGAAGAACAGTTACTTGGTTTTTTTTTTAAATAATTTTGGGCGCTATCACGTTGAAGAAATAATTGCTGGTTTTAGTCAGTTACAAACAGGAGCCATTTTAATTTTAAGGAATTTCTTTAACAAGCAAAAGAGCTTCTACTTGCAAATTGTGTTTATTTTTTACTTCACGAGCGTCACCTCAAGGGTTTGACAAATGTTTACTTTTATTTTAAAGTTCAAATTTAAAATTATACAAGCGCATTTTTTTTATCTGCGATTGTTTGAAAGCCTCCTTCAAGATATGAGGAATTACTTTAAAAGAAAAAGAAAAAAACTCGGCCCTTTTTCATTTCTTTATATTTTCAGCTGAAAAAAACAAAAAGAGTGTCACAGGTTTTTTGTTAATTTGTACTTCTTTCTGTGCGATTGAAGCCCCTTAATTGAATCGACCGCATGAAAATTCAGACTTAAAACGAAATCAAAATAAATACCCTTGACGACCGAACACACAAAACCGTTTTAATGAGTCCGAGAACAAAAGCGTGCAAATCCCCGGCAGGGAGCGGCTCGGCAATATGAAATCTGGCGCAGAATATAGAACAAAAGGTTGAAAGTGCGCACCCAAGAGAAAGACTAGAGTAAAATGACGGCTCAAGATCGGCAATATTGCTTGGCTAGTGCATTTAATTCCGTAAGATAAGCCCCGGAGCACACTCGGCAAGTGTAAAGGGAGTCGGTATCAGTAGCAGCATTAAACTTGCATAGCACAAACACACACACACACATGGCAGTTATTTCTCTTAAGGGGGTTGTCCGTATGCGCCCTCGTCGACCTTCGTGACACCGTCAAGGATACAAGGAAAAATACTGCATTTCTTTCTGTTTCTCCGCAGTTGAGTTTTAAATATATAAAAGAGAAGAAACTCCCTCACGTGAAGGAGGAAAAGTAAAAAAAAAGCTGCAGACGGGCGGGCGCGGCGTCTTAAATAATTCTTGCCTCCTCCCAGGGCGTGCGTGTGAAATTTCGTCTCTCCTTTTGCAAGATTTAGACCCGTCGGAGGTGAGGAGTCTAAGCGCGCGCGGGAGAGTGTGTACCAGAGATAATATAACAATGGCTCTATGTGTACATAAAGGAAGAGAGAATGAGAAATGACGACTATAAATATTCAGGTTAAAGAAAAGCTAAGGAACTGCGCGCGCGCTCGCTCGCATGGCAACCTGACGCTCGCGAAATTTTGTAGACATTTATTTTGCGCAACACATTACATTCGGGTAGGCAGCCAGCTCGTCTCAACCCGCGTTTTATTACGTATATATGTACATATTTATGTAACGTGAATACAGATTAAGCCCAGGTATATACCGAGCCGCACGACACACTTTCGAGTGGTGTAATTACACTTTGCTGAGGGCGCGTGCGGGTGCAATTTTATCATCCCAACACCCACGATTTTAAAAATGTTTTAAGCAAGAGATTTTTTTTATAATATATGAATTGAGATTAGCATCATCAAATAATGATCAAATTTAGTCTCATTAAATTTTGATTATGATACATTCGGATATATTTCAATATGTGGTTGAATTTTGAGTTAATATCTTTTGAGATTTAGTCATTCAATAAAATGTTGAATTAAGGAGCCAACTATACAAAACATGGACAAGCTTGTGTCAACTAGCGTCGTTTAAAGTGAATTGTGTAGCACGACACTAAATATTTAATTGTTTTTAAGAAATAAAATTACTATTATGGAATACAAATTTAATTTTATTATTTAATCTAAAAAAAAGATAATATGAATAAGGCATAAAATAATTAAAAAAGTATTTTATAATTTTCAAGCAAATAATATTTTCGTTAAAAATTTCGTTTTGTTATAATTTGCTTAAATTGGTTTCGTGATAAATAGCTTTAAAGAATCTAAAGAACATTAATTTATGGAAAAATTTAAATTATTAAAAAAATATATTATTATTTTAAAATACCCAACTTTTTTTGAATAATCTGTTTCTATATATGCAACTTTTCCCGCTATTCAGCTACGAAGATTTTAAAATAATTTTGAATTCTCTGCATTGTTTGTGTGCACAATCTGAATTCAATAGTTGTAATTTTACTATGTTCAAAAATACTGATCAAAAATACGGATTGAAATTTCATTGGAAACTGCAAGCAGATTTAATTTCACAATACTTTATAAAATCACAAATTTTGTAACACTTAAAAAATGAAATTATATCCTTCAATAATTTAATTTATTTCTATCTAGTTTTTGAAAAAAATTAAACGCTTAGTCTTTATGCCTTTAATAAATTTTAAACGCCCTTAGAAATTTTTGCTAAAAATACACTTTTTTATAAAAGAAACTTTTTCTTTAAGTTTTTTTTAAAAATTTAAAGAAAACCAAAAAGATATATGAATTTGTTCCAAAGTTTTCCAAAATCCAAAATTCTTCCTGGTAATTGCTTTGCGGCTCGCACTGGTGTATTTTGCCAGGGTTGTAAAAAGGGGTTAAGGGGGTGCGTCATATTATAACTTTAGCAAAGAAAAA